GTTAATACTGTAATAGAATATTATTATAAATTATTATTACTAAATAAATTTTTATTATTAGATACTTTCTGACTATAAAGAATCAATTACTAATGAAGAAGTTAGTGATTTGATGTTCAGTAAAAGTTTTTTTACTACCTGTTGTTTTATATATTTGGTGTAGCAACCTATCAAAAAAATTATTCATATGTTAGAGTCTAATAGTACAACATTAGCCAACTGTTTTATTTATTTGATTAAATTAGCTGCAGCAATTAATAACTTATCTGAAATAAATAGCTTTAAAATTCCTACTATTTATATTTTTAATCAGCGTTATAATATTTTAGTCTATTATATATATCCAGAATATAGAGATAAAAACTATCATAATAATCTATAGATTAATTTGAGTACGTATATTATTTAACTTGTTAATTTTTAGGAAAAGGTTTAAAAAATAATAGATTTCATAAAGCTGCACTAACTTCTCTCGAGCTTTGACAAAATCTTGGTCATACCCAATCAGAAGGTGAAAAATTGGTTGCACAGTTGCAATGCTTTGAGGCACAATTGCTACTATATGATCTTCCCTATATTACTAATATAGACACTTCAAAAATTTGATAAGAATCAACCTCAATATTTAGCTGAACTTGCGCAAAAAATATTTTTAATTAATCTTACACAAGCAGGATGCAAAAAGGTTTTCTTAATATTAAAATAGATTTTAGGAGAGTGACAGATAGACTTGGGTCTAAATAAACTAGAGTGAATAGTCAAAATTAGATTATATTATATGGCTAATATTCAATGTAAACTAAGTTTTTTTGGCAAAGAGTTGACAGAGAAAGAACTTTGAGGCGCATGTAATATTGCATTAGTTGGTAATATAATAGATTTTGAGAAGAAAGACAAATAAGATTTAATGAAATAAATTCATTGGTCAATATAGCATCTGATCATTCTACAACCCTAATGATTGAAGACATTGTTGACTTAATGACTGAAAAAAATTCTAGACCTTCTGTAAAGACAGCTCAAGCTATTACTTCTGCTAATTTGGATTATGATCTTCATGATATATTAAATTGTTTTTTAGAACAAAAAAATCAAGAGAATAATAATGTAGACATAATATCAACTATTTGAAATCTGTAAAGATGGGTAATACCAATAGAACATTATAAGTTTGTTGTTTTTATACAAAGAAACCAGGATTGAGAAGAGTAAATATAAAGCATTTTGCTACTGCAAAAAATTTGCTAAGACTGAAAATGTTGGAATATATATAGTTAGACATTATTATCATTGTGAAATAAGCATTTACATCCTATCAAAATCTGCAAAAATAGGTAATTCTCTTAAAATATATTGTTATGATAAGGGAATTTGAGTTAAAAATAATGAACATGACATTTTATCAATTATTCTAAAACCTGCTAAGTCGAAAAGAACCTTTACTAGATAGTTTCTGAAATGAGTAATGCTTTCACAATGTTATATGTTGGTTGTTATCGAAATAGAATTTTAGTAACTAATAGAATAGAAAAACCACTTGATCTTTTTTTATTTTTCTAGTCTCAATTTATTAGATCTTGTTTACTAAAATTTATATAAAATATATTACAGGATAGTGCATATATGATTTTTTAGTATTAGCTAATATTGCATTAATAAAATTTGATAAAATTTGAAATCACACTTTATGTTTTATTAAGTTTACACAAGTTGTTAATATTCACAGTTTTGAAGTTATTATAACAACTAAAATATTTTTAAATTAATAATTTTCTTGTGATTAAGATAATTTTTATAAAGTCATATATTTATTATACATATTAAGCATATGTTAATAAGTGAAATTATTAGCATGATGAAAAGTTAAAAGACAATCAATTTTGTAATTCCTAATAAAGTTTTTTTAAATATGCAGCTTTTTATATTAATTAATAATTGACAGAGCAATACATAAAGCATTACCGGTATACATATGGCACCTTATGGCATATGTTGGTATTATAGCATTATGGTATACGTCATAAACATTATATAGATGATATTACAGTATATGTCATATAATTCGGCATCACAGCATATGTCATTAATATTATATATATAGCATTATGGTATATATCATATAATTACAGCATATATTAGCTGCTACGGCGTATATTATATCTGATATGCTACGATATACATCACCTGCTACTGCATATGTCACCTGCTATAGCATATGTTACCTACTATGGTATACAGTGTTGGCTGATGACCTTGAATGACCTATATGACCTTTATGACCTGTCATAGGTCATTTGGTCATAACGAAGAT